GGGGAAATGGCTTCAGTGCAAAGATGCCCAAGTGCCGGGGAAACATGATCGTCGACACTGAATGTATTATACCAATATACCCAGTATCAAATACTCCTTTTGACGAGTCTGCCCGCTACCAACAGTCCCAACCAACCGGGCTGAATCGACCTTGCTTGTGCTTGTGTGTATGTGTATCAGTCCCAGGCCTTCTCTTGATAATCATCAGCCTAATTCGTGTCCACTCATCATGACCATGCGGTACCCGTTTGCCATAACCACATTGCTTGTTCTCCGGGCTTCTTTCTCCTACTAGCAGCGGTGTGGAGGGAGCGAGCGAGGGAGGCAGGATCGGAGGGAGGCAAGACAGCAGGGCGGGAGTTCAGTCTTCGCGATAAGAGAGCTTCCGCATCTCCGCCAATCTCGCCTGCGCCGCATCCAGCGCATTCCGCAACTGGAGGATCTCGACCTGTAACACAACCACAAGTCAGTACATGAATCCTGCAGAGGCAGAATCGCGAAGAAGAAAGATGACAAACACATACCTGCTGCTCCATTTCCCTGACCTTGAATTCATGTCCGCTCAACCTGGAATAGTCCATGGAGTCTCCTTCATCCTTCGCCTTCTGCTTGATTATATCCTGTACCTGCCTGACCAATGCACGACAGGCCGCTCCCACGGCCCTGCTGGCCTGTTCCAAGTGGTCCTGTGTCTTAGACATGAAACTCGCCTTGACCCGGGATGCGGCAACTAGTTGTGCTGTCGAGGCAGCGACATCGTTCGACGCTACGATCAACTGCTCGGGGGAGTTCCGGCCGGAGATGACGCCGTCGGCGGTTTCAATGAGGGTGTTTGTCGATGTGGCAACGGCCTTTGCAGCGGAAATCAATCCCTCCGTCCATCGGTTGTTCTTCTTGTAGAACGCGGTGCGAGACGAGGATCCTCTTCCTTCACGCACGATCTCGTTCTGCGATTCCGTGGCAGCCTTGATCAGCTGTGCAATGGCACTGGTGACGGCGATGGCGGCTTCCAAGATTGAGTCGTTGATCTTCAACTCGTATGTCGAATAACCCTCGCGAGGCTTGCTCTTCATTTTCGCGAGCCGTTGCGCGGCGGCATCGATTGCGTTGGCGGCCTTGGTCAACTCCGAATCAACCAGGTCACCCAAGTCACCGGTAGTCTTGAGCTTGCTGCCCTTTGGTGCAAAGGCATCAGCGAGTTTGGACAGCTTTTGCAGTTTCATGAGCACATCGTGGTTGCTGTTGATCACCACATCGGTTTTCTGCACGGGTTCAAGTCCTTCTAGGCGGAACGACTGGAGATTCCGGAAGAACTGAACCGTGGAAATGGCTGACTGCCGAGCTGAGTCGATCAATTGGTCGGCTTTCTTCTCCTCGGTTGCGAGGCGGGTCAGGCCCTTGGTGTTAGACAGAACATCGGCGATGGACGCTGCAAAAATGGAGACGGTCTTGATGATGTCGGCGTGTGGGCTGTTGGGTCCATCCGCGACAAAGTTATTGAAGGCGGTGGAGAATTCGGTCGCACTGGCCGAGGCCTTTTCGATCTGGGACAAGACATAAGGGGCCGTGGCGTTTTGATTGCCGGCTTGCATGGGAGAGTCGAGTTCGTACATAGCGTCATCCACTCTTTGCACGCCGCTCTGGAGGACGGAGTCGATAATATCGTTGATCTTGTCGACGGTCGTCTTGATCACCTCGTCGATGGCGCCATCCAGCGCACCGTCTGATTCGCCGTGTCCCAACTTGAGTTCTTCGAGCTCCTCCAACGCCTGTTCCATTCCCGATTTGTAAATCTCGATCTCGTCATCCTTCTCGCGGAGAGCGGCTTCGTGGTCGTAGTTGCGTTCGCCCTGCTTGGCGCGGATCTCCTCCAGCTGTCTTGTCTTGGCGCGGACGGCTTCTTCAAGATCCGCCATTTCACGATTGTATTTGGCCAGCATGGACGACAGTTCAGATCCTTTGGACCTCTCGGCATCCTCGGCCCTCTCCAGTGCAAGCCGCAGTTCGCGCTTCAATTTCTCAACTTCTTCACGGTTGGAACCTTGGGCGCGGTCCTTTTCGTGCAAGGCGCGGTCGCGTTCGCGGATCATGTCGGCCAGTTCGAGATTCTTGGTCTTCATCTCACGTTCGAGGCGTTCTCGGCGGTCAATGGCTTCTTGGGCTGATGCCGCTTTCAACTTCAGGGACTTTGTGGTTTGAAGAAGATCGAGATGCTCTTGTCGGAGTTGAGAGTACAATTTCGCCAACGCCTCGTACTTGGATCGCCACGTGTTGACCTGCTCCTGCAGCGCAGCAATCTGGTCGTCCTTGGATTGTGATTGCATCTGGAAGTTGGCATTGAGCTGTTGCAGCTGTTCCTCGAGGGCCTTCATGCGTTGGTCGTACTGTTGAAGCATCAACTGGTCCCGCTCATACTGTGCCCGGGCGTTGAGGTTTTCCCGCTCCAGCTCAGCCAGACGACCTTGTGTTTGTGCAGCGTACTGGTCTCGAAGAAGCTGTTCTTGGGCAAGGCGTTGTTGCTCCGCCTGCAGTCTCTGTTGCTCTTCAAACTGGCGCTGCGCTTCTTGCTGCGCCAGCATTTGTTGCCTCTGCTGCTCTTCCCATTGTTGTTGCAGCCGTCGTTGCTCCGCTTCATACTCTTCTTGTTGTCTCTGCGCTTCTCTTGTCCAAAAGTCCTCGATATCCTTTTGTGTGTCCGGGGTCCCATTCTTCGTCACGGGAGTAGGAGGTTTCTCGATTTCTTTCGCCGGTCGCTTGGGGAGGGCGGGCTTTTCTTCGTCGTCGGCAAGGAGATTGGGAGGGTCTTGAGGGAGCTTGGGGACGGTGATGAGGGACGTGAGATATCGCAGGTTGGAGCATTCGTAGTAGAACTTGACGAGACGATAATGCTGGCCGTCGTATCGAGTGCGGAGAGGCTCCAGAGCATCATCATCGCCCGTTGTCGTGTGCATCGCCCGGAGCATGCTGGTGATGAACTTGTAAATGCCATAGCTTTCTTGAACCAGTGGCACCAGGGCTGCAATGCGACACTCGTTGTTGGAGCCGCCACGAAAGTGGGAGAAGATCAGCTTCTGGAAAGTGTCAATCTGATCCTGCAAGGTCATCAAGTCCGAGATAGTCTCATAACCCTCGTTCGGATCGTTTATCGACTTGAGGCTGATGTACTCTTCATACTCAAATAACCCGTTGAACTCGGGGTGGTTGCGGTGGAAGCCCAGCTTGGCCAAGAGGAAGAAGACATATTCTCGGATCAGGGGACCATATCCTCGCAGTCCTTCTCCTGTCACGCCTCTAGCGAGACTCTCGATCCAATTGATATTCTGTTGCGCCTCTTTGACCGTCACGGGGTGACCCTCCTGAAGGACTTTGTGGATGGTTATCAGCGCTTTGAAGGTCTGGACCTCATCGGCCATGACGGGCCTGCCTCATCGTTAGCATCCGACCAGGTACATCGGCCAAGGAGGAGCATGGAGACATACTGGACCTTCATCCCAGCCCAGAAGGACAAGGAGGATCGGTGATCCCACGTGTACACTATGCATGATCGAACATGTTTCCTCTTGGGTGCCGTCTCTTCGATGTTCGTTGCCTTGCGGATGTTGATGGCGAGGTCCGACTCGGTTTTGGCCATGTCGATATTACGACCCGTGCCGGTTGCGAGAGCGGGATAGGCCATGTGGGCAGAGTGATCGTCGACGACTTGAGTCTTGCCGAAGCCGTCGTAAATTGCGCCTGCGCCTGAGCGCCGTCTCCCGGCCGCGTCGTAGGTTGGAGGCACGAAGAACGCCAGTCTGACTGCTTTGGAAGGATGCGAGGGAAAGATGGAAGAAACGATACAGTGGGAAGATCAATGGGCCTGTTGCATCACATCGCCGTTAGTTAGGCAGACGAATTTCAAGCAGAAGATGCAGTTGCTTACAGTGTACGTGGTACGTGGTTCGGCGCAGTTCACGACGCTCCCTTCCGGCATGCGCGGCAACGCCCAACAGCTAGTGTGTTTGTGGTATTGGCGCCTTGGCCAGAGCACGTGACAAACTCTTCAGCTTGTGCCATTTCATCAAATGATCAACAACATTGGGGTCTACCACGTACATCTCTACGAATTCAGCTGTGATTGGCGTGACAATGGGAGGAATTAATGACAGCAGTAATATTTCTGTCCTCTGAAAATTACAACAAGATTAAATGGGTTGTGATGGTGATGCGGGCGTCGATATACCTCAAGGACCGGCCCGCGACTGCGGGGAGGGCAGAGCACGTGACATGAGAGAGTCGCAGACGTCAGCTCTTGCTCCAGCAATTCTCTTCATCCACCAGCTTTGAGCCTCCTTGCATGTTGTCTCTTGTCGCGTCGATCTCTTGGGGCTGAGCAGCCCCATGTCACCCTGAGTTGAGATCAGTCCGACCGGCCGGCCAGCCGGGCGAGAAGAAGAATGAGACAGCTCTACCTCCCTTCCTCCCTCCGAAACTCCTTACAGACGCGCTCAGACCATTCTACCTCGATGCGGCCCCTGCGAACATCTCGTTGCTGCACCCCTCACTTGGCTTGAGCAATTTCCGCGCGGTAAAACCAAACTATGGCTGTGACTGTTGCGCCAGTCGTTAAAGATGATAGACATAACAAATCAAAGGCCTGTTCAAGACGCCACCTCGGCATAGCGCAGTCAATATTTCAGTGCAGGCAGATCAAGAGGGAGGCGATACACGCGAACTGGAGGGAACCCGCTTTCCGCAAGAGGTAGTAGTCGCTAACTCGCGATCAAGGGATTCCAATACCTAGCGAGCTCCAAGGTCTATAATGTCCCTCATTTAAGTGAAGGCGAGAATGGATGTGGCAGTCTCTATTTCCATCCTCTTTGCCGGTTGCTCCTGCCTCTTTCTCTGCATCGTTCTCAACCTCTACCTCCAACTTCTTTGTCCGTTATACTTCACTTTTCTCTCCCTCCTTTCACTCCCAACCCCCAGCATCCCTCCCACCCTCCCATGGTCACGGATCCAACATGTGCGTGGAGCTAATTCTGAGTTCTCTGAGCCCTCTTCTTCCACCAGCTCCATTTATTGATCCCGCGGTCTTGCAGCTTCATGACGACGACCCTGTTCCAGAGGATGCTACCGAGGACGACTTTGCCTTCGTCAATTCCACCGATGATGACGTTACCTCGTATGATGGGGCAGGTGACGATTTTGATGAAGACTCAAGATCGGCCCAATTTGCGGACAACGGTTCAGCGTCATCGTCTGTGTTCGATGATAATCCTCCCTCTGAGATCACCCTTCGGTCTCTGCGCGGGGAAAGATGTCGCAAGTCCGATGGCAGCGTCGACGACGATGCCAACCAAGAGATTGGATCGCACGCCACCCATCATGCTACCCCCGAGAATGTTGGCAATAACGGCTCTACATCTTCACCCTGCAGCAATGATGTTCTTTCCGAAGCTCAGAAGTTTGACTATGCCCTTTGCCAAATCACCGATCGTATTCTCCATGACAAAAAACTGTCGAAGTTTGATTTCGACAGGATTACTGATGGTTTGAGTTTTGCCCAACAGTGTGAACTGGAAAACTGGAGATCTTGCCTCGACCCAACAACCCCGAAGGAGTGGAAGATATGGCTATTTCCAAACTGTCCTGGCCCGGGAATGGGTGATGTCAAGATGTGTGTCACCACCTCGTGCCGTCTGCTGGCGCGGTGTGAGAGCACCCGTATCCAATTCTTTCCACGGTATGGGGTTCAGTGCAACAGGCACAGACGCAGAGAGAGCGAGTCAGCCCAGGACAAGAATGATCTCTGGTGCATGGTGCAATGGCCTGAATGTACCGGCGACCCGTTAGGAGGGCTTTGTTGCAGACTCCTCTCTCGTGCCGCTGGTGACATGGCGCTCGGACGGACCATCATGTGCGCATTGAAAGGACAATGTGAAGAACATCAGGCAGAGGAGTCGGATGATGACGATGAAAACGAAGTTAGGAGGCTTCAGGAGATGTTGTTGAAGCAAGCCGGCGTGAGGGGGTGGAGGAGTTGACGCCGTTGCTGATAAAGTGATGTGTTAATGATGACTTCAGCCATGTTAGGCAAGATGAGATTGACAGTCTCATTGCTGACTCGAAAGCTCCAGTAACCCCCCTCGAGATGACAGCTCTCCAGGCAAGGCGATACCATACCGTATTCACGGCGCACATTCTTCCATCGGCCGCGTTTTGACATCCGTCTTCCTTCGCCGCTGGCGTTGTTGCTGCTTGCGCAATCTTCAAAAAGGTATATAAAGGAGAGAAAGGAAGGAGGGGACAAAATTTAAGGGTATTTTCGGAGCTTAAGGAAGACAGGAGGAGGAACACATCACCTGCACTGGAACGAATCTTGTTTCTGGTTTTGTCATGTTGTCTTTTGCTCATCTCTTATCAACGTCAATGGAGTGGGGACGAGCTAATGGTGCTTTTGGGAATGATCACTGCTCCTGCTTGGGTGCAACATGCATGGGACCGGAAGAAACAAGGATTAATACTGATGGAACGGAAAGTGAGTATGGAAGATGATGGGAAAGAGGAACGTTATATTGTTCCTGGACAATGATCATGTCTAGAGCCTCCTTGCTTGATTTGGCCGTCCGTGTGACTCCTGTCTCTCACACAGATCCAAAAAGTCATGTAGTGTCCCCTCCTCCATAGGTCATGCAAACAAAATCCACAACCAAGTAAGCCCTCTATCTGCTGTATAACCTTGTGGCCCGAGCAAGTGAGGAGCGGATCTCTTTGTCAGCAGCACAGCAACGACCGACAGCGGCAACCGACTGCTGACATAGGATCACACTGACATAAACAGCAGACGACACAGATTAATACTGACATGGATGCACGCAGATACAAGGACACACTGACGCAGACTGACACGGACAACTACTGACAACGACAACAAAGGGACCTGACACAGGCACTGCTGACCCAGACACTACGAGGTTCTGACGAAGAAGACACCGACACAGAGAGCTGCCGACGTAGCAAGTTACAAGTATACGATAGGAAACCTGACAGCAGACACCACTGCAGACTGAGAAGGGATAGCGAAGGCAGAGTGAGAGAGTAACTCACTAGAAGAGGGGGCCAGCCAGTCAACGTGCCTAGGTTGGGTGCGTTGTCTTGCTCCCGCGTTGTGGGCTGTCGATTTCCACCAGCTGTCGTCGTCCCATGTCTCCCGACAAGCAAAACAAAATACCCTTCCAAAAGATGAGCTGACGCGGAAGCACGTTGAGAACAACGGCCATGAAGACTTCAATACCGAGGATACGTGCGGCGTTTTGAACAGGTCATGTGACATGAAGCCCTCGTATCTCGTATAAGTGCGGGGTTCGAACGGTGACGCACTTGGCGAGTCATTGACTTGCGGATTTTAGAGCGCTACGCAACCACACCAGAGCAGCCCCAAATACTGCTCCAGGGAGAAAAAAAGTGCAGGACCATTGTCAGCCAGCATTGCACCGTGGATAGCACTGCAGGCAGCATCATGGACAGCAGCACGGATGGAACAGCAAACAGGAAGACGCGTGCAACCACGGAAATGAGCGTAGACAAGGACGCGGACGCAGCCTTAGGAATGAGCATGGGCAAGCACGCGGACAGGACGAGAGGAAAGATCAACGACAATCTGACCGAGCTTGCGGTCCTCGCGCTCCAAAGCCTCAATGACGCTTCGAGCTCGAACACTGACGCGGTCCAGATGAGGAGTGTGGAAACTGCTAGGTACAGCACCTACCAAGAATTCCTGAACAGGGCCTGCGTTGACCACGAGCAGTAACGAAATCACTTCCCAGCCGATCATTGTGCCGAGTGACCGCGAAGAGGATCATGGTGCGAACCGCCATGACAATTGCAATGAGAATAAAGACCCCAATTCCCACCACGAGGCCAACGACCAAACCGCAAACAAGCGCAACGGGCAATGTTACACCATCATCACGGAGGGGGGACAAGAACGGTTGATCATTGTGCTGAGTGACAGCGAGGAAGGTGATGGTGAGAACCGCAATGACAATGGCAACGAGAATGACAACCCTGACAATGGTGACGAGGCTGCCAGAGACACGCCTCGAGAACCTGCCGCTATGAGCGATGGGCGGCAAAGCGTCGCCGTTATCGAAGGCTGCGGGAGAGTTCGCCCCGAGAGAGCTGGTAGGGCCGCGAGAGAACAGGCCCCGATGACGGCACGCCAGCGAATCCGGGGGTTCAAGACACTGGAGGACAAATCCGGGATAGACATCATAACACGCCGGAGGGAGAGGGAAAGACAGGAGGACGCAATAGATGACGAGCAGGAAAGGAGGACGAGGTCAGAAGAACAGACCAGCCTATACCGATACTTCCAGCGCAATCGGCGGCCGCTAGAGGAGCAACTGGTCGAGCTGAAAGAATTTCTGGCGCATCGCTGCAACCCCGCGGTCACCAACAGGAGGATCAACAGCCCAAGCGCCTTACCGGGCAACCCCACCTTTGCACAGCTTCTGATCTACTGGGACTTTTCCGGGGGGAGGCCAAGCCTTGAGGGGGCGACCAGACTTGAAGGAGAGGGAGAATGGGAATGGCAACGGCGCCCCGCGCTTGACTATATATATAGGATGGGAGGGGAGTTAGCAAGTTTATTTGTTTGTGGGTTTCATTTGTTGGACGCATTTCGGAGAACAACCGAACAAAAGACCACGGCGGGAGGCTGGCATGGTTCGCAGACATATAATATATTGCGTTGTCATCAAAGAGTCTTGCTCGCCGCTGTCTGCAACTATAGACCTATGCAGACTGCAGGTTTTGTTTGACCCGGCCATTGCACCAACAACCTCAACCTCGGGGCGTGAGTTTGTACAGTGGTAGCGATGGTCGAACTTCTTCTTCAGCTTCTCCCCTCCTCATCGTCAACACATCTCCGTGTTTGGCCATTGAGCGGGCGTGATAAATCGCGAGCGCAAGGTGGATATTCATTTCGTACCACCGCATCCCGGCTCAAGAGAAGGAAATGCCTTGATGGACAGAAAAAGACAAGTCAACTCTCACAAGTCTTGGGCGGGCGATTTTTGGGGGAAGGGGGTTGTATTGTGGTGTAATGACGATAGAGTGTATAGTAATGTAATGACAATACTGGTGTATCGGTATCGTATCACTCACCTCCGTCACACAAGACGCTCTGCCCCGTGATGTTCCTTGCCTTGGAACTGACCAGGAAACTGACGAGGTTCGCGATGTCCTGGGGTGTCTGGTCACATTGGAGCGAGCCAATTAGCACACATCAACCCAAAGAAGAAGAAACACAAGCCGGCCACCGGAGGGTGGATGGGGTGTGCTCAAGAGTCGAGACAGCCAGTCTTGGGCTTGGTCTTGGGCTTACCTGAGCGCGCTTGAGAGCGGCTCGAGACTCGACGGATCTCTGAAACGCCACGCCTTTCTCAAGGCCTTCGCGCTCCGCGATGCTGGCATCGATTTGACGCCACATCTGGCAAATGGGCAGTCAGCAAGAGCTACAAGAGAGAGACAAGGTGAGCCTTTTTTGGGAGGGGGGTTTTCACATCCGTGTCAACGGGCCCAGGGCAGTATGCTGTTTTAGAGGGGGTGGCTTGTCAGCAAACGGACAGGCAAGCTAGAACTTTGGCACAAACAAACCATTAACCTATTTACCATGTCAGTTGCACTCTGTGCCGCCCTTCTTCGCCAGTGGATAAGGCACTCCACTCACATTGATATCGTATTTTGCAAACTCCAGCGCGGCCGACTGGGTCAGGCCCCGAACAGCCCATTTGCTGGTGGAGTAGGCGACACTGTGGCTTGCGGACTAATAGGCCCCGAGAAATCGAGTCAACAAACGCGGGATAACCTTTTTCTTTTTTGGCAATGGGACCAGGAGGTTCTGACGAGCTTCGCTCTTACCGGTCGATATCCTGCTGTTGAACAAGCCGCCACCATCTTTCCGCCTTTGCCCTGTTTGATCATCTGCTTGGCTTGGTCCATTTTTCAGTCTCTCCGGCCCCCTTCCACAATCATTGCTGATGAGTCTCTCTTACCCGCTTCTCGATAGCACAGAAATACTCCCCTCACGTTGATCTGGCAGTGCTGTTAGATTGGGATCGGAACAACGAGACCTGGACGAGGGAGGCGATGGAGGGGGCCGCATTTTGCTAACTAACGGACTGCACCCTGTCCCATTCGGCGACGCTGACTTCCAGGATGGATTTTGGCACGAGGATGCCGGCGTTGGCGACCATGACCTGTAGGTAACCAGGATCAACAAAATGGACTTTGGGGAGAGTTGTTCAAGGGCGGTGACAAGCAGGAGGCCAGTTTTACATTCAGTTCTCCAAACTCGGCCACAACGTCGGCGACCATCTTCTGGACTTGTTCCTCAACACTGACATCGGCGACGAAAGTCGAGGCTTTACGGCCTGGAGCACAGAACTGGGGTGTTACAACCGAATTTCTTATTCGCTGGGGAAGAGAAGACAGCACATCACCTCACCCTTTTTCTCAATCTCGGCTTTGACGCCTTCGAGATCTGGAAACTGAGCTTGTATATCATTCAACTGCCAGTGCGAATTAGCCCCGAGGTTGCAATACCATGCAGTGCACAGAATTGTCCGATGGGATAGATTCCTCACAGCAATGTCCATGCCATCGTCCGCCAGCTGCAGGGCGATTGCTCTTCCTATTCCTCTCGATGACCCCGTGACGATTGCAACCACCATTGTTTCTTTGATGCCTTCTGTTTCTGTTTTTCTTTCCTGGAGCTACTATGCTGAAGCCCCGTAGATCAACGCATGCATTCCATATTGAAGTTATCTCGAGTAGAGGCGTCATATATAACTGTCAGCCGGGCTCCGGGTATTCGGTAGAGACCCAAGGCGGGGAACAAAAAAGGTGTCGTGCTCCAACTTTAGGCTTCTCCAACGCATTCGCTAGGAAGACCGCGGACCTTGGCCCCGCCTTACGAACCGTGTTGGGACATGGCGAAAAGAAAGGTTATTGAGCGATCTGATTGATCAATGAGACAACTTGGAGTGGGAATGATATTAACACTCGTGTGTTCTATGAAAAGAAGGCCGCATGCAGCGAGGTAGTAATGGGGTAACCAGGTCCTCTTCTTGATCGACTTCTGCGGCAAGGCTGAAATATCACTCTCGCTACTATGTCAATGTCATCGTCTTCTCCCGGCGCAAAGTAACCCAGCTGCTTTGAAAAGATAGACTAATCCCCTCCGTCAAAAGAGAGCTTGGAATCCCGTAGGTGTTGCCGCGGAGGCGGATTCGCTAGAGTTAATGCCCCTATCCCTGCCGGTCAGATCTGAGTGTGTGTTAGTCATGATTCCCAAAAAGGAGAATCAACATGCTCAAGACCGCGCATTACCATCTGTTCTTTGACTCTCACTGTACCGCACACTGCCACCGCGACCGACGTTGTACTCGGGTTTGCACTGTCACTGCAGAGTCGCTGTCGTCGACGAGATCTTCCCAAAAATCCGCACCGTCCTGGCCGAAAACAGACATCCACACCTGAAGCCACGTCTGTCGATTTGGGGGCCCTTCACGTAGTGTCCCACATTCTCCGTTGAACATGTCTTCAAGGTTCCGGCTTGGGGGTTCGCTGATATCCAGGGGGTCATGTCTGGTGTCTGCCGGTTGGAAGTGAGCATCTTCAAGAGGATGTCTCGTGGCAGGATCTCTGCCTCCCAGAGATCGCCACATCTCCACCGCGATTGTGAGGAATGCATCCTCTCCCACCGCCGTCCGGACACGCAGATCGGTAGCGCAATAGCCGCAATTGATCAAATCATAGCATATTGGCCTTTGCACGCCGCCTTCCAGGTGATGGACGGCGTCAATAAGAAGTAGCGGCAGGGAATTTCTCAGGTGAACGCAGCCGATGCCGTTGAACTTGATAATTTCAGGTAGAAGTATATGCCTAAAGGATCGATCGACATATCCTGGGGCAAAAGCCATTGGAAGTGACGGAAGAGTAACACGTAGTGTATACACGCCATGAAGTAAGAGTTTTCCGAGCTGGACACGGGCGTCGAGACGCCTCGCGATCTTCTGACCCTTGGTCGGGTACCATCCACCATCACCCTTGCACTCGTGTACGAGTTCGGCAAGTTGTGGACCATACTTGGGGCCTTTCTCATATCCCCTCAGGAAAGCATCCACCGTCTCCCGAGAAATGAAAGGGGGCCGATGGGCATAGCACCAAAGTGAGCCACGATTGAGATTCGGATGGTTGTCGTGGTTTGGGCAAACCCCTTTCGGTTTCTTTCTCCAGTCAAACAGAACTTTGCAGCTGTAGCATGCCACCATATGTGGAACATCTCTCTCCAGCATTTGAACGAACCGAGCCTTCTCTTCAGGATCTTGTTCGAGTCGTATATCATGTCGCTTGTCAAGCACTGCCCGGCAGTATTTGGAAGCGAACCCAAGGGATGCAACAGAGCTCGGCGGTAAGAAGTCGGCGACGCACAGCAAAAGTTCTGGTGGCAAGCTGGTCAAGGTCAAGACGCCGTTCCTGGAAGTGGGCCGGGAGCGGTGAGCCTGACGCCGCTCTCGTGAGGGGAGGCAACCTTTGAAGAGGGGAGAGAGCTTGGACATGGCTTTGGTCGCGAAGAGGATATGAAGGTTTGTGTGGTATGCATACAAACGCAAAGTCAAGTGTAAACAAAAGAAAACTCAAATGTAAATGAAAAAGCATGTCCCAGTGAGAATATTTCGAGTTACAAAGGAAGAAATGGACGACAGCGGAATGAAAGTTCTTTGGCAGGGTGGCCTTTGCAACCTGAGAGCCGACGGCAGGCAGGAGACAGAATGAGGATCGGCATTGAGCGGGCGAGAAGGAAATAGCGACAGAAGGAAAGAGTGACAGAGGACAGAAGGACAGAAGGACAGAAGGAGAGAGGATGGAGGAGGGAGCATAGAAGTGTGCCGGTGCCAGTGCCGGTGCTGGTGCTGGTGGCGCTGGCCTCGCTACTACCGAGTACCTCGTACACATGTATCTACACAGCCAGAAGTGTCCACCAGCCCAGGCACTGGCCGTGAAAGCCAACAATGCAAAACAAACATGTTAGCCGTGCTCCATGTTGTGTCCCAGTTGGTCGCTAACATCACCGAAGCCATCAGTGATACCCCGGCCGAAAGGCTTGGACAAAGGAAGGCGTCACATCCTCACCGCAAGTCCTCTCAACATCATGGCGTTGAGCAGAGATCGTGGCGAATGCTTACGGTTGAAACTGACAACAACTTGAAGAAAACTCAGCCATGACATTGTCCCGTTGACAATAATATCAACCAATTTCTTGGCCGAGGCTGAGACTAATATTGGAACTATCTCGTTTTCTCTACATGATTTTCTTATTTCCTCCAACGCACGGCAAGAAGGATACCTTATGTCTCTTCAAAACAATTCCTTGGCCTGTTCAACAGCCTTATTCGCATTTCCCTCACCTCCAAGTCTGGTCGCTAACCATCCCATCGCCTTGTCAGCCACCATCTCCCAGACGTCTTTCTCTGGCAAAACCTTGACCTTCAACCAAGCAACTGCCAGCACTGTGGCTTTGATAGCATCCTCGCCTTTTTCAGTGAAGATGTCAACGCTGGTAAATTGCTCTTCAGTAACCCCAAGGAGGGCGAGAAGATTCTTTGAACGGAGCCACGACCCGTCAAACTCCTCCAAACCTATAATCTGGTGCATCTTTTCCGTGTTACTGAGCGTCGTCAGGTCAACCGGTGCCGCGTGCTCGCCAGCCTCACCTGCAATATCTTCTTCATTGCGTGTTGAGCCAAACCCAAATCCCATTCTAAGAGATCGGGCCCTCGTCTTCTTTGTAGTGGTGGCTGGTGTAGAAGCGACGCTTCCGAAGAGGCCCCCCCGGTGCGGTGCCCTGGCAGCTGGCGGGGGTGCGGCGGCGGCGACAGCCGACGGGCGCAAAATTTGGCCGTCGGCCCGTGGGCTAGTCGCACCCGCTCTACAAGCAAACCCCCCTCCAGCGAAGGATCCACCGGGCGCTGCATAGAGCGATACGCGACCTGTTAACCCCTTCGTCTGCACAGAAGGCGCCGACCCCATGGAGACCCTCTCATCAATTCGCTGGCCATGGTTATCAACAGCCACGAATGAGCACCATTTCCCCCCGACTTGGAAAAGGACACCCAAGCGGACAGCTTCTCGTTCGACAATGAGATCCCATTTTCCTTCGTGGACAGACTCGAGAAGTTGCCCCCCAGAACTTCGTGCTTCGGTAATCCAGCCACGGCCCTCTTCGAGTTCGAGGATTGCCTTCTTGGCCGCCAGTTGATGAATTGTTTCGCCCATGCCGATATCTTGAACAGGAACTTTTAGTTCGAGAGGACCATGCGCACTGGTGCCGCGAAGCACAACTGATTTGGGTACTTTGCGGGTCGCTTCGGGACTGAAAAGGAGGTAGACAGTGGTGCGATTGAACCGAAATAGTGGCGGAATCTTATGGGGTGCCTGGAGGATTCTTGGCACTGAGATAGTTGGCAAGCTTTCATAGCGACCTACAGGAGGGTTGGTTGGTTCTTCGGTCGCATTGGCATTGAAGAGGGAAATAGGTGTCCTCCCCTCTGGCTTCTTCAGATCAGGCACGACATCATCTTCAGCTTCTTTGTCCTCTGGGTCAACCATCTCGAAGTCTTCATCTTTGAAATCCTCCACGTCCTCCCCAAATTGGACCTCGAGTGTGTAGTCAGTGATATGGGGGGTAAGGGCGCCCTTCAACATGCGAACCACCCGATTGTCCAGCTTTTCATCTGTGCCGACAAACTGGGCGAAACCATTGCCGGCGCGGGCGACCCCCTCCACAAGTGCAGACGAAGCGCCATCACCGATACCTAGTGTGAAGAAGCGGGCGTTGGGCGTCTGCTTCACGAACGCGAACACGTCATCTTGATTCCAGATTTCACCATCGGTGAGAAGCATGACTTCGAGGGAGAGGTCTTTGTAGCGGTTCTCAACCGTCGCCTTCACTGGTTGGAGCATTTCCGTGCCGCCATAGTCTGCTGCGAATGTCTCTAGGTGCTTGAGAGCATCCTTGAGACTTGACTGATCGTATGTTTTACTTCTCTTGAAGAGGAAGGAGTGCCGCGTTCCAAAGGAACAGATGTTGAATTTCACACCCACTGGGAGCGATTTCAAAAAAACCTTCATGGCGGCAACCAGGAGTCCGATCTTCCCATGCATACTCCCACTTCTATCCACAATGAACACAATCTCAGGGGAGATGTTGGGAAGATTGAATTTTGGAACCAGCGTGGCCATGAGTGCGCGTTGGTTGGGGATTGTAGAGTGAGTCTCGAGCAAGGCACGAGGAGTGTCAGTGCCTTCAGCAAGGACAACGAGAATGAAATCTTTCTCGAGTTCGGTAGTACCGAGAGTTAGCGTAGCCGAAGCGTGATTGTTGTTGAACGAGTCCTCGGCCATGATAGATGTACGCCCCATGGTAACTGCGATTGGATGACTTGGGGACTGTAGGCCGCGCACGATCAAACCTTCTTCAAGCGTCACATCGACGCATATGGAGATACGGCCTTTGCCAATCGCGGCGCTCTGGACGGCGGCAGCAGAGTCGCTCGATAGTGGCCCATAGCGAGGCGCCACGATGGTTGGAATAGTGAAGCGTGAGCCATCGGTTTCCGCATCGCGTTTGAGTTCACCGAGGTATACCAGTTCGACATGGACCTTCTCTGCAGCAGGAACATTACCGATTGACGTGGTGAAGACGTCAGAGGCTTCGGGCAGCTGCTCGAGCAGAGCAGCTGCTTCGCCCTGCGCAACCGCTGCCTGGTACTCTGCTTTCGCCTGTTGTCGCTCTTTGACAGCACCGACGATGGTCTTTGCGCCAATAGTGCATTTAAAGCCAACCACACTGACTCCGTCATAGAGTGGGAAGGTGTAATGGACTTGATCAAGACTGTGGTCTCCGTTGTTGACGAAGCTCTGTTTCAAGGTGGTGCGCGAAGTTGTTGCCAGAATTTTTGTGTGTGAGGACAATTCAATTTGAGGAAGATACTTTCTTTCGGTTCCGGGCTTCTGAACGGGGACATAGCACCCACACAGGCGGCGCTGGTCATGGTACCAGGAGGACATGATGGAGAAGTCAGTGTTTCAAATGATTGAAAGGGTGGAAGAGATGGAGAGATAAAGAGATGGAGGAAGAAGGAGAGGAACAATGGGTGATTTAAGTTCAGTGTCACCTGAGAAGTAGGCAGCCGCGCTGGATAGTTTTGAGCAGGTGAGGCAGACAAGGCAGACTTCTGTATTCACCAACGGCAAAAGCCGCGAGCCAGGTCAGTCAATCGTGGCGCACCATTCGCGTCACTGCAGCGGGGGACGGGAGGATTATTTGATTCTGCCTGAACAAGTCGACAAATGCGTTTGCAATGAAGGTGAGCTTGAAGTGGGAAACACGAGGTGTTACTACGCGAGGCTGTGCCAAAAGTACACTATTCCGTTCCGATACGAGGCTACGCCGGAAATACGCTATTCCGTTCCGGTTAGAGCTCATGTGGTTAACACTGAGGGAATCGCAGCACGGGTACTCTCATGTGGACGTTGACACAAGTTGAGGGGAACGCGGAAGAAGGTAGCGCTGTTCCAGATAAATGTATATGATCTGGCTATTCAAGAACAATCATCAGGCCTATGTTTCCCGAAATAGCCTATGTGTAACGGTGGAGAGTTCACAAGCCGAAAAGGAGAAAAAGGCGATAGAGCGAAGTATTTTTCATTGTCCTGGCTTGACGTGGGATGCGAAAGATGAAGGGTTATGGGTGTGGATCGAAGACGAGCGCTTGTGAAGGCGTATCTTGTCTCACAGCCTGAACGGGAAGTGTTATCATGCTGTAGAATAGCGGCAACGGAGGCAGGGTCATAATTTCCGGTTGCAAAGACTGCATCAATTGATACTTCAGTCTCGTTGCTTGGGTCGGACGACGTCGACAATGTCAAGACTGGCTCACTCGATTGCCCTCTCTCCACGATATCGAATGATGTTGGCGGTGCGTGCCATGGCGAAGGCACTTCTCAGAACCGCAGGTGGGTGGAAACTGGTGCCTGGAGCACATTGAATCTATTTCCACATAGCCGCCATCTCTTGAGTCATAGCACCAAAGCCTCCACAGTGCTAGATGCTAATACAGGGGGGGAGGGAGGTGAAAGACGTGGTTCGGAAGAAGCTTCGGCCATCTTTATCAAGGCAGGTGGAACTCGAGGTATATGGTGTCAAGCCTGTTAACATAACTTGTTAGCATTCGGATCGCCTCTTGATTTGCTCTCTTACATTCTGCCTCTCTTGAAAGCAACAGCTTTGAGTCTTCCCACCTCCTCGAAACCCCGTTTCAGGTACCAGTTTCGCAACCGAATACCCTGATCGGGAACAGTCTCGTCAACAGCCATGATAGCCATCACCTTTCTCACTGGATACACCTTCGCATCAAACTCATGACCTAACTCCCAGGCAATGTGTCTAGTGAAACGGAGTGCGTCGAGAAGCCGCTCGATCAATCTGCTCCCAATACCGTTATTCGTGTGCTGTGGATGAACATAGAGGCTGATTTCAACAGTGTGACCGTATCCCATGCTGGACCCACGGAAGGGTGACGCGTATGCATAACCGACAACATGGTCGTGGTCATCGAGATCGCATGCTACCATATAGGGAAGCTTCCGATCAACGCATTCCTTGTAGCGGTATTCGATAAGCCTGAACGGGGGCTTTTGAATCAGGCAGGAGACGGAAGTCTTCAGCACCCAATGTTCAAAGATCCGCTGGATCTGGAGCAGGTCGCCCTCCGTGGCTAAGCGAACACCAACACCCCTGTAAGCCATGCAAGTGAGAACGGTAATGGTATCTGTGGAGCGCAGGCAACGGGGTTGCAACTTCAAGCACTAGTCCGGCACGTGACGTCATATCACGTGACAGAGCATGGTCTCCCCCCGCATGTCGCGCAGCTTCACTTTCTTGATCTTTCACTCATCGCTCACTTTCACTCTTTGTCTCACTTCATGCTTCTGCTTTTTCTCTTGCTTTTGCCCCCTCGTGCACTCAATATCTTCATCCTCTCCTTTGCGCAGCGCTTCTCCTTTCGTATACACTTCCACTGACTCAGACACGAGCCATGGAGAATCTCTTTTCGATTGCAAATCCCCTACCCATCACGGACGTTCCTACCCTCTCTTTCCTCTATCGCAATAACCTGCTCAGTCCTTCATTCATGGAAGGAATCCCCGTTCCGGACCAGGCCATCAATAACAAGATCTGCACCATTCAAGCAGACATCACAACGCTGTCGGTCGACGTCATTGTCACGGCGGCCAATCCTGCCCTCCGTGGAGGAGGCGGGGTTGATGGAGCGGTTCACCGTGCTGCCGGCCCTAGATTGCTACAAGAATGTGCTGCGCTTGGTGGATGTCCAACAGGTTCTGCTAAAATAACTGATGCATACAACCTTCCATGCCAAAAGGTGATCCATGCGGTTGGACCCATCTTCAGAAGCGAATCGGCGTCTGAACCTCTTCTCCGTGCTGCGTACCACAGTGCCCTCAATCTTGCTGTCCAACATGGCTTGAAGACCATTGCGTTTCCCGCCATATCCACTGGTGTCTACGGTTATCCCAGCCGTGCCGCAGCTCGAGCTGCCATCTCAGAGATCTATGCGTTCGTGAAGGAGCCAAAAGGAGTTCAACTGGACAAAATCATCTTCTGCAACTTCACGGATAGTGACGTGGATGCTTATTCTCGTTATCTGCCGTAAGGATCTCTTTGATCATCGATCTCCTCTCCTTTAGTACTTTGCTTACTGTGTCTCATCTAGTCTTGCTTTCCCGCCGACCCAGGATGACTTGTCCCATACAGGTGAGTATGATTTGCATACCGATAAAATCCCCATGGAGGTCGCCGACCGACATGCAGACCCGTTCGAGGGCAAAATCTGAACCTGCTGTGACCGCATTGTCACAACCCGCCGTCGACGAGCATGGTGCCGCTCGCACCCACACCCTGGGAGTTACCAGCGCTGAAGTGGATGAAGCGAGTCGTCGTCATTCATGTTCTGCACGTCCTGAGATGTCCCCGCCACGTGAAGATCATCTGTCCTACAGTGAACCGGGGGATACTGAGACCGAAGAGAGTGGCGAAGGAGAAGCATCCACGGCAACGGGCAAAAGAGGCAAGGTGAGCACCAAAGCCGCCCTAGATTGCAACTTCTGAGCTACTGACTGATAACGAGGCCACGTATTGCGACCACCAACGTCTTGAAAAACATGATGGTGGTTCTTCGCGCGGATTATGGCCATGCGGCGCGTTAATATGTCAAATATGCGGGATGATTAGGCAGAGCGGTGGCAGGAACCTTCATCCTCCTGCTCCCCGCCGCATTCGTCGAATCTGAGCATGAGAACAGGGAGGAAGCGGAGTTCATGTGGGTATTGAAGGAGCAACGGCAAAAGTGACGCAGACCACGATAGTAAGACCCCAGGTGTCAATGAGAAAACGGTATGGCGAAAGTACAGCAAACATGTTTATTAGTCCCGACAACACGCTTCCCTCACGGGAGGAGTATGGACTGCTTTATCAACAAAATCGGTCTCGGGTGGTTGTCGTCTCAAGGGCGAATGGTGCTGCTGGTTATTGCAAATCCTGTCGTTCAGCATATGCAGCCCTCACAGTTCGCTACACATGTCTGTGTATCCAATAATCATACTTCAATTCACAGACGCTCAATCATGCTCGGGCCAACTTCGGCTCAACTTCGGCTCAGCCTGCGATGACGTCGATTTGCATCTTTTCATCTCGCACGTGTGAAATGAAGTGTAAAAGTGTATTGGACTATCCTAGATCTATGTGGTCGGGGAGGCTGCTTTTATAGCCATAATTACTAGCGTCTTGGCGTATTTCACACACGTGTGGAATACCTAGCCGGCGGTCGGCAAGAACTTGATGCTGTATTATACCATGCGTTCTGCTCCGTAGAACAAGAATACACGCTGGCCACCCTAGGCTCCAAACTCTGCCGGCCAATTCGTGCTCACTACTGGCAAGTTGTATTGCGATGTGTGCTGCAACACCAATGACACTGGCTCGCTAAGCTATACGGGAGTGGTACTACCAGGTTTCTGGCCGAAAGGGGAGCAGGTTTGTGACTTGAGGCCGCTTTCTAAAGATTTTGCCCCGATATGAATGTGGACGCGACAGAGAAGCTGTTGCATGATCCAACTCTTGCCAAAGCACACGTTGCCACCGCAGGATATTCAGAGGATCCCGACGATGATTGTAAGGCCCTAGATGATCAGATGGATTCGTCACGCAGGACAAACTTTCAAAATTTGGCCCAGCCTACTAGGCTCGATTCCTGACCCTATCTCGAGCCACAGACGTTGCCATCTTCATCTTGAATGCTCAAGCCACCGGAAGCGAGCATTCCCACTCCATCCACCCTAAACATTTGGAACCATCAACGCTTGGTAGCGATATGTTGTCCACGAACTCCTTCGTCGTGTATCATCTATGTGAGAGTCGGGATGTACGTAGGTCGATTCTTCCCTGCACGCCGAAAATGAATGGGGAAGCGGCAAACATCGAAGGTGTTTCTACCAAACCACTCGATGCGTTGTGCTTGATAGGATCATGGCTGGCCACAGCTCGCATATCTGTGAGCATTTGTGCGGAAATGGCAAGCTTACGGAAGCTTGGAACTACAATATTCCTGGCTTCTGGACCTCCAGTGGAGGGATGGTGTTGAAGATCGAGCAGAAGTCTGGTTCTTGGAAGGCTCGAGCTATTGGACTATGTACTTGTATTCTGTATTGTGGTCGCTCGCCAAGGGAACTCAAGCAGCTAATTGATCTATTGTTCATGGGGGAAGTGCGATCGATCCGAGACAGAACGCCATCCTTGCATCCACAGACGCTGGCGTTGATGGGCTTCAGAAGCCCTCTTCAAACAAATGTGCCCACTCGAAGGGTGTCTTGCCTCTCATCGTTTGTAAAGAACGAGTTGGCGGGTCTCACTGACGTGACAAACTCGAAGCTCCAACTCAGAGACACCACAAAGATGAAATGGAAGTAGGAAGCTCGGCCTGCCCTTTGATCCTGCAGAATGTACAAGTGAAACGTATCCAGTCCCTTGTATCATACGAGAACGAGGTTGAATTCCGGGCCGTGCTGCCCAGCCATGTATAGGTTCTGGATACGGTTTTAATGCACGCGCAGAGAGATTCTCATGCCATGTTCTGGTGATACTGTTGCTCTACTCTGCTCTTCCTCTAAATCACAACAGGTTTAACAGATTCTTTCATGCGTGCATGTGGCCCAGCCTCGCGATATCTAGGGGCCCACATAACTGAGTGAGTATGACTATTGGAGGGATAGGATTACTCCCTATACCGCGAATTGCTGTCTACTCACCCTCCTCACCCCACTCACCCCATTCCTATTCTTTGACTGCGACAAAGAACCCCCTCTCCTTGCCCAGTCTCAAAATCTCCTCGCATACCTTGTCCGTCACCTCTTCCGTGCCGGCCTGCCCGCCCAAATCTCTGGTTTTCACGCCCGTCTCCAGCACGGCCTCGACCGCAGCCATCAACATATCGGCCGCCTCGCCCTGGCCTAGCCAGCGCACCATTTCGGCACAGGTCCAGAAGGTGCCCACGGGGTTCGCCACGCCCATGCCTGCAATGTCCCACGCCGACCCGTGGATCGGCTCGAACATGCTGGGGTTCTGGCGGGTCGGGTCCAGGTTGCTGGTCGGCGCGATGCCAATCGAGCCCGCCAGCGCCGCCGCCAGGTCCGACAGGATGTCGGCGTGCAGATTGGTCGCCACCACTGTGTCGAGCGTCTCGGGCTGCAGCGCCATCCGGCACGTCATGGCGTCCACCAGCATCTTGTCCACGCTCACGTCCGGGTAGTCCCGGCCCACGGCCTCGTTGACTTCGTCCCACAGCACCATCCCGTTGCGTTGGGCGTTGGACTTTGTCACAAACGTCAGCTTCTTGCGCGGCCTCGACCGAGCCGTCTCGTACGCGAACCGCAGCAGTCGCTCGCAGCCGTGCCGTGTGAACACGCTCACTTCGGTCCCAACCTCCCACTTCTGGTTGACGTGTGAGCGACCCCCGTGGCCGGCATATTCGCCTTCGCTGTTTTCACGGATCTACGCCATTCGGTCCGTGTTAGTCATGTGGGGGGACAGACAGACAGGAGATAGATGGGGTGGTTCATTTCCACATGAAGGAGGGGACAAACGGTGTAGGCAAACCAGGCCATGCAGCAGGGGAAGAGGAGGCGAGAAACAGAACTCACAATGACCCAGTCCAGCTTCTTCGCATTTTCAAGACTCCCCTGGCATGATGCCAAGGGGGATGTCACGCCCCGCAGGATCCGAGTCGGCCGCACGTTGGCGTACTGCTGCAACGGCTGACATATTGCGAGCCTCAGGCCCCACAGGGAGATGTGGTCGGGGACCCTGCGGTCGCCGACCGCGCCGAAAAGGATGGCGTCGAACTTCCGTAGCTCGTCGAGGCCGCCTTCGGGGACGTATCGCCCCGTCTTTAGATATGTATCGCTGGACCAGTCGAAGTGCGTGAAGACGAAGGTGAACCGCGACGAAAACGCCTGTGAAAGCGTCTCCAGCACCCGTATCCCCGCCGAGATCACTTCGGGCCCTATCCCGTCGGCGGGGATCGAGGCGATCTTGTATGCCATCGTCGAGAGCGGCGGGGCGAGCCGCTCGGTTGATGGATGCTGTTGCCGCTGGCGCTGGGATGGAGCTCACGTTTGTTGTGGAAGGACGTTCAAGGAGAAGACCAGGGGTTAATTGAACATGGTAGCTAGTCAATCTGTCAGGATGATGGAGATGGACTGGAAAAATAGGCAGTTATACATATACATATATTTATATGCGAGGCAGAGGAAGACGAATCGGCCTGGTCGGCCATTCTCCGGGCGGGGTTGGCGCCAATTTCTCCACCACGGCGTCCAATGCCGTTGCCACCGAAATCGTGGTCTGTCATTCGCCATGAAAAGACGACGGGGTATTTGGCCGAATCAAGGCCTCAGGGAATGACGTTCGGCTCAGAAACATTGCTTGTATCTGGTCACCTATGCTGTCAACGCCATGTACTGCGTAAAACACCGCCATATTCATCCCCAACGCGGTCCTCTCACGGTTCCGCGCTCACTGCAGCTTCGCAATCCAGTCCACCGACCGGACAACTTGGGCCTGCTTCGCAATCACCTTCAATGCCGCAGCGTGCATGTCCTGCTCCGCGTCCAGGCAAAGATCTTCCAACACCACAAGCTTGTAATCCATATCCGCGCCCTGCCGGACCGTCGACATGACCACGCCGCTCGTGCTCAGCCCGCTGATGACCAGGGACTCGACATCCAGGCTGCGAAGGATTAGATCCAGATCTGTGCCGTGGAGAGCAGACACCCGCCGCTTGGTGACCAGGATGTCGCCCTCCTGCGGCGCCACGGCAGGGTGAATTTGCGTCGACGCGTCGCCTTCCACGAACCCGCCGTGGGCTTTGACCCGGGCAAGCGACGTGTTTCGTGGCGAAGCCTCGGGGAATTCAGGCCGGAAAGCCACCCTCACATAGATGACTTTGAGGCCAATCTTGCGTGCTGCTTCGATTGTCTGGGACAGACGCAGGAGAAACGATTCCGTGTCTTGGTCTTTGAGTCGCTCAACGATGCCGTTCTGGATGTCGCAGACCAGGAGAGCTGTGGTGGCCATTGTCTCTATTCCTTTTTCTTCTTT